AAACTATAGCATCATCTGACAAATGTTATTTAGTTTCTTCTTTGACCTTAGTGTTATGTTGTGTGTTCACTAGAAACTAAAGAATTAAATGCAGTGGTGAGGACACAGAGCTAAGTTGGTCCCCAGGACCTATTGGACAGTCAACTTAGCTATACTTGGCCCATGTCAGGTCACAGAGAGACCCTGTCTCAATAAACATGAGTGGAGTCTGAGGAGTGATTCCTAAAGTTGTCCCCTACATACATGCATGCACATGAACACATGTGTGCACACACATAGTATGAGCACAGGCACGGGGTGGGACAGTTAGAAGTGATCCCACTGGGAAGAATGTAAATCCGTGGTTGGGAAACAGTACATTTATTTGAGAGGTAAGAGGGTAACTTGGAAACTGACTTAAAATCTTTCAAGACTGGTACATGGTGTTGCCTGCAAGCTGAGGGTTAGAAAGAAGCAAGGAAGGAAGAGTCAATTAGGACACTGTGAGTCTTGGAGGGATTTGCAAGAGGCTGGAATTGAAGTGCCATGATAGCATTGTATATTAAGGAAGAACATGACATGGGGAAATGCTGCACAGAGAGGGGGGTACGTTATTTCCAAACAGGAATGGCACTATGGTAGCAGTTAGGACACAATGATTGCCAGTCTGGAAAGGAAGGATAATGACTCTAAAGCAACAGCAAGGCAGAATGTACAAGGCACAGAGCAGGGAAGGGCTCTAGGAAGCAGGGGGAATTTGCTATGGTTGGCAGTCAATCTGAGAAGGTAACAGCAATAAATGTCTTCTTCCTCCATTTTTCAGGAGTCTAGAAGAATGCCTGGCACTAACTCTTCCTACATGTGTGTGTGATGGAGAAGCTAAAAAAATCTTCCCAGCATGGTGCCCAGATGCTAAGAAGAGAGGCATTGGAGCCTGGTCAAGCCATGCACAAAGCTCAAAGAAGGAAAGTGGGGAATATCCTGAGGATGCAGCTTAAGAAATGGACACGCAGCTCTGTCACGGCCCAACAAGAGGTCATGGTGAGAAGAAGAAAGAGACAAACACAGTCTTGGAGGAGGAAGTAGAAGAAGACTCCAGGCATGAAAATACATTCCTGTTTGCTGCATGTGAGGTGCTGACCCTGGGAAAGCGGGAACACTACTTGGGAACAAAGGTAGACACAGACACCTGAAGACCAAAGGGATGAAGAAGACAAAAGCAGATTTTCTTCCCAAAGAGCCTATTTCCTCAACAGAGATTAGGTTCTAAGAAAAGGGATAAACAGAGAGCCCATGCCTTCAGAGACAACCAGAATATCTTCTCTCCAGCCTCTGGGACAGATCAGAAGCCAGACTCTGAAGATGACAGCAAACCCAGATCTTCCAAGAAATGAGTTTACTACAGCCCACAAGGGTCACAAAGGTCTCCCAGGGCCCAGTGTTGCTATGCACAAGTCACCAACTCCCTGGTGATCCATTTGGACAGGATCGATTCTGTCTCAGTCTGTAAGATATAGCCCAAGACCCTCAGCTGTGTGACAAGGAGGGCTATATCCATTTTCTAGTGCTTTTGAGAATCAGGGAATGTTTACACAAATACCAGCAAGCTTATTAGGCTCAGGCTGGGTACACAGGACCAGGTAGGTGCATCTTTATTCAGGTCTTTCGAAATCCCTGAAAGGCTGAATCAATTCAGAATGAAGACAATGTCAAATGCAGAGCATTTGCGGGAACAGAAGCAAGGGGATGCAAGCATCTGATAAGGGGTGGGTACCAGGTGATCTTTAAATATCCTTGCAGGCTGACATGTGATGAAAAATGCTATGGACCAGATTAGAGACAGATAGGAAGTAAGAAGCAAGGAGCCAACCAGCATCCTAATCATTCTGGTCAGAAAGGTCCCATGTCTCATGGTAAACACAAGAATAAAGGGGGGAAAAACCACTCCATGCTTAACCCATTGCTGGAGAGGCTGAGGAGTAATACCTGCAAATTTAGGAAGCTCTTAAGTCCCTATAACCTCTTCCCAAGTGACACATGCTAAAATGGGACATGGGAGGGAATTGGTGGAGGAAGCCTGGGGATCCTCCATATGAATAATTTGCTCTCTTAATTCCCCACTTCCCACCTTCAAAAGGTGTGACCCCAATCTTACATACAGCACTGTAGACGTCCCTGTCTGCTGATGTGAGAAAGCAAATATGGCTTTAACTGTTAGGGCAGCCTCTCACTGTACGTAGGGTTGTGTCATTGAGTTAGTTCCCTTGAAACCTTGGGAATGAGAGACTCTACTATCTCTCAGCCATCCCGTCCCTGCTCGCGTGAGCCACAGGAGAATTGGCCAAATACAGTTGCAATGCTCCTGCAGAGTACTTATTGTGTCACGTGTGTTTCCCGAAACCAACCAGTTGTCCGCTGTCTATTGGTAGGTTCGAAATGAACTGCTGCATGAAAAGGATGCTTTTCCTACTGGCAAAGGGCTTGGACCATTGGAGTCAACCTGTGACTTTCCTGTGATAAGGCTTTGTGTGTCCCCTCCAACTTCTAGTCTCTGCCTACAAACCCAGAATCCCCACTAACCTCTGCTTGCTTACGCAGAAGCAGCATGACTCTCTAGATGGCTGTGTTGGCTCCTACACCAGACCGATCTCCAGAAGGAAGGCTCTGCATGCTTGAGATCTCCTGGTGTGGTGGCTCCTTGGCTGCGAGATTTTTCCTGACATCCAAGTACATGCATCTAGTCCCAGAACTTTCTCCACAGCTCATGAGTTCCCATGGGACTAAGATCATGATGTCTCAAAAGAAACCTGTCTTTCTTCCACATGACATATTCACCTTTGTCTTGTAGTGTGCAGATGGCATGGCACCCAAAGTTCCAAAGGACACATATGACCCTAGGATCAGAGACTCTATACCAAGAGCCCAGAGCATCTGCTAAGAGCATGCAGTGGTGTGCATCTGCTAAGATGCTGTACTTGGGAGTTTGCCTGGCCATTAAAGCTCGTTTGCACTTCGGAAACCATTGCCTTTACATGAACATTTCCAGTAGAGGCTGAGGAGGTCAATATTTGTGTGTCTATGAATACATGTGTATGTCCACTTTTAATTGGCATAAGAATCGCTTAGATTTATTAATGCAACTTATTTTAAAATTATTGTTCCAATTTCCATACCATAAATAAGTGTACTCTTTGAGTGGTCTATTCCAGACCACTTTATTTTTTTTTAATTTGGTGCTTTTGTTGATAATTTTGATCTAACATGACTTTCAATCATAGCTCTGAAATACCATCCCATGATCCCAAACACAAGAAAGTGTTCATAAGCCATAAGTACACATAGAGAAGTATGTGTACAAGATGGGTGTTGATCCGTTGTTAGTTGAGTCATGTGTGAATGAGTCAGTCATGCATGTTATCTAACGTGTTTTTTTTTTTCTAACAGAATCACACATACCACATGTACCGGTTAGTTGATAAAATATTGACTGCAAGCAGAGGCTCACAGAAACCTACCAATGTTTTTTCTCTAGAAGCAAGGCTTCGGGGTTTTCTAACTTACCATCCACAGGGACTTTATGGAAAAGAACTACCGCAAATAACAAGAAAAACATTTATGTTCAAAACAGCAATGGCCAAAGAACACTGCAGAAGAGTATCCTTCCTGGCTACCCCAGCCAGGTGACAAGTCTGACCACAGACAAGCACGTAGCAGTTGGGCTGTTCTTTGTACAGTTTCACGCTGTAGATCTGAAACCTTATCTTTCCCTTATGCCCAGCCTTGATCTAGAACCCAGGTATTCCTTGGATGACACTCACAGGAAGCCTCTGAAAACCACTGGTGCAGATTCTACATACGGAGGCAAATGATGGTCTGAGCTGGTACTAGCCCAACCCTTACCACTGTAGTAACACTTACTGAAAAAAATCTCAGAGACAGAGAAATGGAAGCAAAGGCTGATGGGATGACCCAAGACCTACTCTGCTGCTGGAAGCCCCAGCAGGAGCGGCAAGAGTTAGGAACTTTGAAGAGTGTGACCCAAGTATAGAGTACTCAGACCAGGGGAGGAGCAAGATCAGATCACACCTTTTCCTAGGCCTCTCTCAGATTGGTTAAGCCATGAAAAGAACCCACTGCTGGGAATCCTGTGGACTGGAATGGGGCTCTCACAGTCTTTGGGATTCTGTCTAGATGGTGAGGCCTTTCCCTAACTGGTTACTCTGACCCCTTGCTTTGTCCCTGCTCCCTAGGGGCATCTCTGCACTCTCCTGAGAAGTAGCTCATTCCCTAGAAGGCATCAGCAGTGTGAAGGCGATGCTGTGCATTTACATCTCTGGACCCATTGAGCCTGGGGTGCGGGAAGGGGAACACTGTTGACTGGAGGGACAAGCCACCCCAGATTTCAGGAGCTGAAAGGGAACCTAGCAGGGCTCAGGAGAAATACAAAGAGAGTGTCTGCAATCAACAGGAGGTGAGAGAGGGGAGGAAATAGATGTCCTTATCTGGGAGAAAGCAGGGAGGTGCCTAGAGCTGGGATGTTTCCAGGGAGTATACATTTTGGAGCTGGGCTGGGAAGTCAGAGAGACATTTCTATTCAAATGTATTCACTGCCCTTCATTCCTTTTCCCTCCCATGGAGGCCTAGGTGGAGCTTCTGATGACCTCAGAAGCGGCTGTGCAGACAGAGCCAAGTCCTGTGTTCTAGCATCTAGGCAGGGTCTGCAGAGGAGACTAACCTCCTTTATGAGCCCTTACAGAAGTACCTCTTCCTACTCAGGGCTATGCTGAGCTAGGCGAGGAAAAGAGGGAATGAGACTTAGATCTGTGGCCCTCCCTTCCTCCCAGACTCTGTCCACTGGCATCTCCTTGTCCAGGCTGTTCTCTGAGCTTAGAGACAAAGAGGGAGGGGGGTCTCCTAGAAAGTGGGAGGTTACCCTAGAAGGTTCCAGAACCCCAGCGACCTGGTTTGCTTCCATACCAACCCCTACAAAATAAGGGACAGCATCCAATCCTACTACTTACATGTATCTGGCTTGTGGCAATTGTGTCCTTGGCGGAAGTACTGGGGGTTCTCAATGACTGGGATGCGGGTCATGCCAATGACCACTGTGTCTGGCCCAGCGTCCAGCGATGAAGGTGTGGTGATGCCATGGTTGATGTGGTGCAGTGGGCTGGCTGAGTCCTCCTCACCACTGATGACAGCCACAGGACCTGCACAAACCATGAGAGACAAAGGACTTGGTGAGGTCGCATCCACTCAAAACCAGCCCTGCCCTCAGAATATTCACTGCTTTACCCCCATCTCCTTCAGAAGGATCCAGTTCATACGATCAGTATTGCCCAAACTCCCTGACCTCTGACCTTAGACAACTCCAGCCAAACTCTCTTCCTTGAAAATAGCTGACTCTCAACCATAGGAATAGTTCCAAAAAAAAAAAAAAGAATTGAAATAACTACTACATAAATCATTTTTGATTTCTTCCCAAGCCCAAATTAGCTGAAAATAATAAATCTCGTGTTTCTTTGTTTATGCAACAGTAACAAGACTTAAAAGCAGAACCTAGAAGCAGTTGTTTCCCTTCACCCCTCCTCTATTTGGGGCACGAAAATCACTGCCATTGAAGGGCCGGGGAGAGCCTTAGCCTGCAAAGTCCTTGCCTCTCAAGCATAAGGATCAGAGTTATGTCCCCAATTGCCACCTAATACACCAGATATGGTTGTACACATTTGTCGTCCCAGTACTGGGAAGGCAGAACAAAGAAGATGCTTAGCACTTATTGGCTATCTGTAGAGCTCCAGCCATAGTAAGAAACCGTGTCTAAAGAAAATAAGGTAGAAAGTAATTGGAGAAGAGCCCAAGGTCAACCTCTCACCTACATACACATGCACATATACACACAGAGATATGCACACATATGCATATATATATATGTATGTATAATATATATGTGTATATATATATTAACCCTAGAAATAGTCTGGGGTATACCTGGGCATTAAGATCATGAATGTTCTCAAGTGTTTTGGTATACAGCCATGACCCAGAACCTATGATTGTGAAAATGGAGGTCCCATGACCTTTAGCATTGCCACCAAATTTCCAGCGGGGTATGACATGGCTTCCACTAGACTCTGCCATAGCCTTCATCACTCCCAGTGTGACCCTGAGCCTCACCCAAGCCATGTTTTGCAAGGGACAGTAATTAGACTAGATCCCTGGTGGTAGCAGGACTAGCTGTCCTACTCTTGAAATACCCACATTGTCCCAACGTCCACAAAGCGTAGCAGTGACATCTTCGCCAATTCCATGCTCCCCATTTTCTAATCCTCAGACAAAACCCGGTGAGAAAGGTGACTCAAAGGCACAAATGACAGCGATAATTAATGCTGCCATCTTCACAGAACAATGATTGTGTTTAGTGGTATATTTCTCCCATGCATACAAATAAAACTCCTGTAAGGGGAATTAGCTGTGACTGTCTGTGGGCTTCCTACGACTGGTGTTTTAAATGGCTGCTTTGCTAGACACAGGGTCCCCAGACAAAGTGCCTGCTGTGATTTGGTTTTGCAGCTTGAACAATATTTCCACTGCAGAAATCCATTACAACTTACTGAAGTTTATGGAGAGAATATTTCCCATCAAACAGCGAGGTGAAGCGCCAATGAGGCAGAACTAAATGGAAGACTGGTAAATGCGAACGGCGGGCCCTGGATTCCACTCCGTCAGCATGGGCAGGCTTATTCCAGCCCGTGACAAATGGCTGATGGTGTCTAGAGACCGTGTGCAAAAGTGGCAATAAGTGGTGGCCCAAATGCCCAGAGTAATCACCTGTCTTGCGAAAAGGAGCGCAGTCCTGAAAACGCTTTCCTCGGAAACTCATTGGGAAAACTTCCGTAGGTACTTGCAGTGAAATGAGAAACACTAAGCCCTGGTATTAGCCACCACCCAAACCCTTGCCAAAATACAAAAGAATTGAAGAAATATTCGTGCACTAAGAGAAAGAGAAGAGAATAAACAAGACCTTTCAACATTTGGGAAGTTGAAAAACACATCAAAGGAGGTTAGTGACTCAGAGCAAAACCAAAGAACCCCAGTGGCATGTGACCTGTTGGGACCATGCATACAGAGCGTAGGGTGTCCAGAAGAACTCATGGTATGATGGATATGGTGCACAGGAAGATGGCAGGGTGGCCCATGCCTCAACAAGACAGTTGGGTCCACAGCCTTGTCCCTACCCCATAAGAGGAGCAACTTATTCCTACAGAAGTTGATTCAAAAGACACAGGAGAAGGTTTGGGTGAAGCACAAAGCTGAGCCCTTTCTTCCTGTTGCTAGGACAATCACATGTGTGCCCACCACTTCCCAAGAGCTGCTCACCCCAGGACTACTGGATGTGAGAAGATGCTTCCAAAGAAAAAGCCAGAAAGTAGGCTTCCAGATGTTGACATTTTTATTCTTCCTGCTGAGAAGCCACCCTGGAATCAGTTCACAGCGAAGCTGACAGTGTGCATGACAACCTCCTTCACACAATGTGGGATGCTTTCAGCTTCCCAGAGCTCAATTCTAAAATATAAAGAGACGGTGCTGTGTGCAAGACCACCAGACATCTCCAAAGAGTTTCGGCACCAAAGAAAGCAACAAGCACTCACAGCCTGCAGGAAATAGGGGGCAATGTACGAAGAAGACTCAGAAAACCAATACAAAATCCAATAGTCTCAGGGAGGTAAATAGGAAATGAAAATATTAAAAGGGCAGAACTTAAAAGGTGAACAATTCAAAGGTAAGAAAGTGTCTCTGAGAACATCAGTCATCAACATTTTAAGGTCAAGAGTTTGAGAAGTCAAGAAAATCTTCCAAAAATCAAACTGAAAGGAAGGAGTTAAAACTAAGCAAGAAAAAGTAAATTTTCATACCAAGATGAAACAACAGATTAAAAGAAGCTCCAGGAATGAGCAGGAGAGAATAAATAAATAAATGTATGGAAATTCTCTCTACCATCTCTCCAGTTACCTACTGAGACCCTAGTATAACTAATACATACACAAGTATAATTTCCTGCTTTGCCCCACCCCACACACAGACACACACACACAGAGGGGGGAGGGTATGGGGGGTGCCAATATGTAAAAATTGACCTCACAGTTTCTTTTTCCAGGACAGTCAGAAGGAAGGACTCCATCAATCCAGGCAGTAGGTAAGGAACAAAAGCAGAGCAACCGTCTCAGGCCACAGAAACATGGGATGAAGGCACAGAGAGAGGAAACCCTGGTGGGTGCAGGGTTTACAGCCAACAGCCCCACTCACTCCAGAGCTCACAGTTTAATTACAAGAAGACACCACTTCCTTTACCATCATTACCAAACACGGACCCCAAGAAGGAGCTCAGCACCCAGATTCTCCTCCCCATCTCTTTCCTTTTATCATTATGGGATATGGGTTGTTATGGTGGCATGGGAGAATAGGTGGCATTGGGGAAAGATGTGACATGAAGACTTCAAACTCTGTGAAAAGCTCTGTCTTCAACCTGTCTCTTAAAAGTTCCTGGGGAATGCACAGTCAATAAAATTTTCTTCCCAAGAATCTGTGACCTAAAACAGTTAAAACCTATGTTTCCTTTGCACTGTTGTTGATTTTGAAAAAGTTGAAGTAATAGTAGTGGGGGGGGGGAGGACTCCCAATGAATGGGAAGGAAGAGTTCATCTAAGAAAGCTTCATATAAATAAACAATAAACCAGTCTATAGAGCCCTGAAAGACCTAGACACTTGAACGTGGGCCTTGGGGGAAAAAAAGGGGGGGGAGGTAACAGGAAAAAAAAATGGTCAGAAAGTAGAAAAGAACCAGAAAAAGATATGGTCTTAGAAGCCAAAAAGGACCATCTAGGAGTGCAAGAGAATCTACCCTGAGGTCAAATAGGATAAACAATGAAAAAAGAGATGGAGAGATGGCTTAATGGTTAAGAGCACCAGCTATTCTTCCAGAGGACCCAGGTTCAAATCCCAGCACCCACATGTTGGCTCATAATCTCTAACTCCAGTTGCAGAGGATTCAGTATCCTTTTCTGGCCTCTGAGTGCACCAGTCTCATACACAGTGCAGATAGACATGAGGGCAAACACCCATGCATATAAAATAACATACAGCAATTAAAAAGATAAAAATGTAGACTGAAAACTGGCATTCGAACATGAGGATGTTGGCCTTCCAGAGATGAGTTTCACAGATTGACAGAGGAAAGTGCCAAAGTTCTGGAGAGTTGGAGAAGTTTCTGTGGTTTTTATTCAGTTCTTCCTAAGTATCAAGTTATACCATTTGTAGCTCTTTTAATCTTGGAACACCTCTGTGAGGTTTCTGGCATTATTGTCCCCACTTTAAAGATGGGGGTGTGAAGGTTAATGACCTTTTCCAAGGCATAAACCCCACAGAGAAGCAGTGAGAGAATCCAGACTCGTAGCTTGGCCCCAAGGCCAGCACTCAGAACCATCACCTGGCGCTGCCCCCTACAAAGAAGATTGTGGGGATGTACTTGCTCAAAGGGATACATGCTGAATTCTGGCTCACCATCCTCCCCATGAGCAGCTGCCTTTGTTGGCAAGAGCCTGAGACACTTATGAAAGGGATTGTTCTTAACCCTGAGAATTGGGGAGCAGCAAATCACCTCATTAGACTCACCCAGGGAGATCACAGAGAATTCATCTTCGTGTCTCACCAGCACTGAAATAGTGTTCCTAAACTATGTCCACAATCAGAATAGAGCATGGCAGCATCAGGACCATTGTCCACTACCCAAGGTCCTCTTAGCCATCCTCACTCTAAAGTAAAGGCCAATAAACTGGGCATATACCCATCACTGCTAAGGACATGAAAGAAGATTCTTGCCATCCCTGCCTGCCTGTGCCTGAGACCAACAATCTCTCATGAGAGTTGCATAGGGCCTACTTGGAGATGATTGTTGTGAGTCCACAGCACCCCTGGTCTGAATGAGAGTCTCAGGTTCATCATAGTATAACTGTTGTGTTCATCACGAAGACAGAATGTATGTATGAGGACAGGGCTAACGGGAAGCCTGTGTGTGCACCTTCCATCCAATGTTGTGTACCCAAAGGAAGAGGCGGGGAGATATGCTTTAAAAAAACTAAAAAAATTTTAAGTCAATCTTTATTCTGAGCATATGTAGTTCAGTGTAGCACACTTGCCTAACATGTGCAAGCCC